GAGCGTTGGACTATGTAACCTGACGGAGCGGGGTCACTGGATACTGAAGTGCATAGTGCGAAGAGGTCGCCAACTATCTGCAGAGTCGATCACTGCAGACCTCCAAACTTCACGGGCCCTTGGAATAGGTTTCCATGGTGACCAGCTGCATCCAAGTCATACATCAGCAAATGCAACCAAAGCTTTGGATGCAGTGGTGTACAGCACAGCACCACTGGAATCTAGAACAGTGGAGGCTCGTTCTCTGGAGTGAGGAATCGCGCTTCTCCGTCTGTCAACCTGACAGACGAGACTGGGTTTGGCGCTTGCCAGGACAGCAATACTTGTCTGACTGCACTGTGCCAAGTGTAAAGTTTGGTGGAGGGAGGATTTTAGTGTGGGCTTGACTCCTTTGTTCCAGTGAAAGGATCTCTGAAAGGTTCATCATACCAAGACATTTTGAACAATTCCATGTTTCCAACTTAGTGGGAACAGTTTGGAGCTGGTCCCGCCTCTTCCAACATGACTGTCCAAAAAGCAAGGTCCATGAAGACATGGATGGTAGAATCTGTTGTTGATGAACTTGACTGACCTGCACAGAGTCCTGACCTCAACCTGATCGAACATCTTTGGGATGAATTAGAGGAGAGACTGAGAGCCAGGCCTCCTTGTCCAACATCAGTATGTGACCTCACTAATGGGCTTCTGGAAGAATGGTCAGAAATCCCCATAAACACTCCTAGACCCTTCACAGAAGAGTTGAAGCTGTTCCAGCTCCAAATGGTGGACCAACGTCATATTGAACAATTAGGAATGGGATGTCACTTAAGATCATATGTGAGTCAAGGCAGGCGATGGAATACTTTTGATAGTATAGTGTAGATTTTCAATTTCATCAAAATATAGCCTGGATCGAACCTCCTATGCCTATTCCTGGAAAAGTACCTTTATCCTTTTAGATTTTAATGGGCAAATGTTTGTAATTGATATGTCTTGCTCGATTAATCGGGAAATAACAAGAATTTTGATAAAGTTTTTTTATCTTGTTGCATTACTAAATTCCTTCAACAAGTAAAGAGGAGGAGGCGTGCCAATAACTGAATCAGATAACAGCAAAAGAAAACGATCTGGCACAGAAAATTGTGATTTATTTCACCCCTGGATATAGCCTTAATCCCACTACTGCCTTTCACCTCTATGTAGTTGAAAATAATGTGATTTTCAACAATCAAGCCACTTGTTTGTCCCCTACAGCAATATTATACCTGGCTTTAACAATTTCAAATGACTAAATATGCTACTTTGCTTGGCCATATTATTTGGCCTTTTAACGCTCCAGCTAGTACATTAAATTGATCCTTGCTTCTTCTTTACAATATCAATGCCAAAGTGAATTGCAATCCATTGTACTTACATATTGACTGCATTTTGGTTATATCAACACTTGTTTGAGTCAAACAAAAAAAGAGTAAAAATAGAACATTTAACATGAAAATACATCTTTTAAAAACCCTTACCATCCTGGTCCTCTTTCAACCCAGGACTAGCCTGACTGAGGGCTGATTTTTATCAAAGGCTTACTGAGACAATATTGGTACTTATGGAGCCATCTAGTGGGCAAATGTTGACACTGTGAGGAAGATTAGAAGTGTGGGGTACAGCTGTGAAGGATTTGATTCATTTTGCTGCCTTCATGTAGATTAAGAAGAAATATTCATAACCCTTGAAATTTTTTACATTCTGTCGAGTTGCACAACACGAACTTCAGTGTATTTCACAGGAGAGCTGAACAGTAAAGCATAAGATTTTTAAGATTCAAAATTAGTAAATTGTGATGAGAGTTTATATCCAACACCTTCAACCAGTACTTTGTAGAAAAGTCTTTTTGCTGCACGTCCAGGTGCCAATCCTTTGGTTTATGTCTGCCATCTTCGAACATGTACTGACTCACATTTTCACCCTTTCTTCTTTGCTAAACAGTTGAAGGACTGTCAAATTTTCCCCAAAAAATATTTTCGGTAACACTTTATTTGAAGGGGTGTGCGTAAGACTGACATGACACTGTCATAAACAGGACATAACATCTTTCATGAAGATGAAGGAGTCTTTATGACTGTTGTCATGAAAAGTCATTCGTTCATAATGACGCTTTTAATACAAAGTTGCATTAAAAGTGCATCACAAGCATCAACTTTGCATTATTCTGTAAATAGTGACACTTTTAATGGAAAGTTGCATTAAAACTTGCATTAAAAGTCCATTGGAATTGTCAACTTTGCATTAAAAGTGTTGTTATTTATGGAATGACACTGCATGACAACTGTCGTAAACATTCATTGAAAATGTCTATTAGTTTTCCACTACATTTATCTTTTTAGCTTAAGATGCTCATTTTGGACTCATCTAAACAAAGCACTCATCTCTTCCACATGTTTGCTGTCTCCCAACCTTTGATTTCTTTCAACAATAGATTTTTTTTTTGCTATTCTTCTATGAGGTTCACATTTGTGAAGTGCCAACTAAAAGTTCTCCTGTTTGAGCCTCACCTATGCCCACACAGACAGACATACACACATTTCCCACCTTTCTTTACTAAACCCCCTCCGTGCTCTTACCCCTCTACATGTCAGTCATTCTTTGGTCCCCGCTACATAGAAGACCTCAGACTTGTCAGACCTCCAGCAGTCCCTCAAAGAAATACCCCTCCTGCTGTAGCACCCCCATTCCCTCTTAACCCCACCAAACAAAAATAAAGTCACGGTGAAGACAGGGCAGCCAGGACTTTACAGATAGGGCTCCCGCTTGGCAGATCAGTCAGTGGATACCTGATTGTCACTTGTGAGGTTGGGCCCTTAATCCTATTGTTTCTCTGACAGGATTACTCTTTGTGGTCCCTCTCTCCCTGTGGCTGCACGCAGGAGAAAGGGCAGATTAAGGGGATTAGCATGTATCCTCCTGATTTGCCCTGATAGGATGTGTGGAACCATTGACTTTCTTGGAGGACCATGAATGCAGAGAGGCAAAAGGTGCCTAAATAGGAGGTCATGAAAGACAGTGAAAAATGTGACAATGTGATTTGTTTGCTTTTGTTCCCCAAAACTTGTCTGTAAGGTTCAAAGGGGCCAGCCAAGCTCTGAGGAGAATAACCATCCAAAGGCGATGGACAGGCAGGTGAAAGGCACCTATTCATCAGAATTGCTGCAGCTTTCTTAGGAGCAATTAAACCTACGAAACAGACTATCATTGTGCAGGCATTTAGTTTTATGCATTTTCTTAATATGTCAGATATCCAAGGTTGGTGGAACAGCCAAAAGATGTGCTCGTGTAAAAGTAAATAGTAGCCATGCAAGAAATGACTCGGATAAAAGGACAAAGGCATTTGGTTAAAAAAAAAAAAAAAGAAGCCAATTTGAGTAATGAGTCAACTGTAAACAGATCCAATAGTTTTCAGATGACTCTATCAGACAGACCAAAATCTAAAATTGTGGGCAAATTCTGGTATTTTGGGGCCTGAAAAGGAAATTGTAAAGTACTTCCAGTAATAATATTTACTGTACTAATGTTTACTGTATTTTCAACTTTCGTCCAAGCGGCGCAACAGGCTCAGCTGATAGAAAATAACAATAACAAACGACAAAACTGCAGTAGGTCTGTCATTTATGGTACAATATGTTTGTTCTCTATTTGATGAAGTTACTCACAGTGGGCAGAATATCCAAACATTTTACTCAAGAAAGAGCAGTGATGCTTCATAACTCGAGTACAAGTACAAAGTAAAGTGTAACTCCTAAAAGTTCTCTTTTTTTTCTCCAAAAAGTTGCCAGAGTAAATGTAAATAAGTAAAGATAATAGAACTGTCTCTGTGTTAAACACATGTTAAATGTGAAAATACATAAAAAGAGAAGTTATTTCCATATGGTGGTGAAATAGTTTTTTCCTGTTGTACAAAAATAATAGAACAAGACAGAATAGTCCTTTATTAATCCCACAGTGGAAAAATTCACTGTTACAGCAGTAGAGTAACACAATATATCCAATTGAATATAAAAATATCTAAAGAAAACAACAAAAAAACCACACAACATGAAGAACCGCATAGTAATGAAATACTTAAAGGATGAAAAACCTCCAGAAGTATTCAGTTTTACTCCGCAGGCTGTGGATGGACACCGGCACAGAGGGGGTGAGAGACGTTGTCCATGATGGATGTCCCTATCTAAATGTTCAAGCCCTGGACGTTCGCTGGTGATGTCTGTATGGACTTTGCGCCAAAGTCGATCACCGTCTCGTCTGTTTTGGTGGTGTTGATGTGAAGGTTGTTGGGCTCACACCGGGGAATAAAGCTGTCGATGATCTCCTTGTACTTCAGGTCATTCCTATCAGATACACAGCCTACGATCGACGGCTGTATCGTCCGAGAACTTCTGAACATAGCAGTAGTCCGAGTTCTGTTTAAAAGCTGAGGTGTAGAGAGAGAAAAGGAAAGGGGAGAGAACTGTTGCCTGACTGCATAGCACCACAGTCAGGAAGCCTCACATGCTGTGCTCTGCTGGTGAAGGTAATCAATGGTCCAGCCAGTGAGCTGACACTCCACAACCGTTTTGTTTATTATAAAGTGAAATATGACAAAAAAGGCATTTGTATACGTTTTTTTAGATAACGTCTTTGCTTGCCGATACAAAGAAAGAAAAAGAAAACAGAACCCAGAATATAAAAAAGTAGGTCAGGGGTGAATGTTTCAACAGTGAATATACTGATATGAAAACAAATAAAAATAGAAACCAGATATTATAGACATGGCTAATTAAAAATATTCAGAGATCTGCCACATTGGTATGAATTTACAGATCTTTTTGTTCGTACTTTTGGAAGTGGTGGATGAATGTAGTTCAATTTCCGCAACCAAAATGCTGCTACACACTCACGAACAGTAGGTGGCAGTGTGAACCTCAAAGTTGCTTGCGGTCCCCTATTATAGAGAAGAAGAAGAACATTTCCTTTCTCTCTCCCTCTCTCTTTTTTTTACATGCCCAACAGCTTTGTGAGGAGCTCGGAAGTAGTCAGAGTGAAACAAAAAGAACCGAACCCATTAAATAAACACCGAGAACAATGTGAACGACGAACTGTGCTTCATTTACAGCTAACCTGACGCAGTTTAACATACGCTGTGCTGGACCGTGTTAATATGTGACAGCGAGCTCCACTGAAGTTACTTTAAAACTATTTAAAGACAGGTGACTGTGACCATGTCTTCACCTCAGGTCAACGCTGGACTCGGAAGTTCAGCCAACGCCGTCGAGGTAAGAGCTAATCTAATGTCGGCCCAGCTGCTGAAGTCTTCAGGCGTTTGAACGTTTACAGGCGATAGCTTGTGATGGGCAGCGACGATGTTCACACGGCAAACTTTAGCTCGTGGCTACAAGTTGTTCCGGTTTGCGGTCGTACAAAACGGCTAATTTACCCGAATTGAAGCTTCTGCGTTTGGTTCAGCAGAGAGAAAGGCTGTGGCAAACTTTATAGATCAGTGAGAACAAAACAGGAGCGTCACGTTTTAAACTCGAGTGAAACTGTATCGCAGGTTTATTTACGATTGACTGTATTTGTTATAGAAGCCCACTCAGATAAAAAACCAAAAATAGTAAACTAACATCTCACAATCTTGAGAAAAAAAAATAAATATATATATATATATATATATATATATATATATATATATATATATATATATATATATATATATATAAACCCATAGTTTTTATTTTTTCATTATTTTATTTTCTCATGAAGTTTTGTAACAGTTGTTTCAAAAATATATTTTCTTCACTCTTTTGCTTGTATATATTTTATTGCTTTCAATTCAATTTGAATTATTATCGTTTTCAGCACTTTACAATGCAGTATTATCTTGTCTGTGGTGTTTAATTATCATTCCACTTTGTTAGTTTTGTTTTGGGTTTTTTTACAACACATGTCTGATGTAAACACCAGGAACTGAAAGTAAAACAAAGCAAGAAGAAGGATCAAGTATAAACTGCAATGCGCCTATAACTGCTGTTTGTCAAAGATATAGCAAAAAGGAAAACCATCCCTAACCACGTCAGAAAGTTGCATTTGGACTGAAATCTTTTTGTTTTGTGTGAATAGGTCGGACTCGTTTGCCAGGGAGTGAACAACCAGAGCTACATCTGTGAATCTGGCCACTGCTGTGGACAAGCAGAGTGCTGCAGTAACATCTATGAACTGTGGTGTGAGTTAATTTTCTATTTCTATTTTCTAAAGATATAAACCAGTAAGCATCTTATTGTTTAAATGAATCCGTGGTATACATTGTAGGTTAAAACAAGGTTTTATTTGCAATGTATGCGTTTTTCTGTCCCAAGACAATCCTGTTATAAACAGAGTAATAATGACGTTTCTCTTTCTTCTGTATTCAAAAAAAAAATATTTGGAGTTTTCTGCATATACCGGGAAAAGAATGTCACGACTGTTAAATAGTTATGTTGCACACTTGCTTACTACTACTACTGGTTTTGGCGTAACGTCATCGTCTTGGTGATGAGCTGCACATTAACATGTTCCTTGGTGCCCTGTGATTTATCTTCAGGGTTCTGGCTCGTGTGGGCTGTGATTATTATCCTGACAGGCTTTTGCGTGTGTCAACACTGGCGGGCCAAGCAGCGTTTCCAGCAGCAGCGCCGGCAGAACGAGATCAACCTCATTGCCTACAGGGAGGTTCACAACAACTCTCAGCTTCCCCTCTATCTCCGTAAGTTGTGCACCTGAAACCACTTGTGGACTTTGTTACCTTGACGTATTCCATACCTTGAATGTAGAGGAGGGTTTAAAAAGGGCCACCCAGTCATATACTATGTTAAGTTTTGAACCCAGACAACAGGCCATATGCAAGCTTAAAAAGAAATATCGCACAAGTATTGAATTGTATTGAAATTTTAGGCAGTACTTGTGAGCAAGGTAATGTGCCTTGCTTCGTCCAATCTGCAAAGTGCTGCATGTTCACACCCTGGCTGTTTCTGCACACAGTCGCCTTTGGAATGCACATGTTTGGATCACACATAATCAAAACCACAGCCTGGAGATTCTCCTCTGCTGACATCATCAGAGCATCGATCACTGCTCCACTTTGCTTTCAGCTTTTTTTTCTATGGAAAACAACACAGAGAATACAAATTATGTCCACTGTGCAATCAAAGTCCTCTAATACCAACGCGGAAGGATGGATTGATCCCAGTCGGAAAATTGGATTCCAGCATTGTTAGCAGGCATTTACATATGACATACACACACAAACATGGCATTAGCAGTGAATAAAAGACATACATCATGAGACTGAACAAAGTTCAATCTCACCAATGTATGGTAACTTTTTACTGGTTAATGATTTAATCACTATTTGTGGTATGGAAGAAATTTTGTCCTGTTTCTTGGGAATAAAGGAAGGCTGTACCATTGCCCTGAAATAAACGACTCACTTGAGGATTTCAAGGGATGTTTATTATCTGCTACAATTTTGTTTGCCTTTTTCAGAACATGTATATCTTTTCCATGCTTGACAGAGTGGTTCCCATAGGTTTGCTGGCTGTGGTCACTGTACTTCTCAAGGACTTCTTCTTAGCTTCAATAGCATTGCCAAACCAACAGATGTTACAAAATGTTAAAATACTCTCAATTAAAGCAGAATAAAACATTACAAGCATTGAGTCATTGACTCTAAAAAAAACAAAACACAGTTTCTTTAAAAAGTGTAGTGCTAATAAGGCCAGCCCATTAATCCCAGTTTAAGTGACAGTCCAGAACATTGCCCATAGTCTTCGTCGGTGATGGTCGGAGAAAATGACTGAAGCTTCCTGAATTCATTAATTTTGTGTTCAGAGCAAATTTTAATGTTTTGCACCAATTAAAAAAGAAGTTCAGGACTGATCCATCTCCTTCTACCATGTCAATTTACAAGCTTACCAGGCTCAGGTGGTCAGCATATTTTATAAAATGTGTTAAGCTCTTTATCATTAATCTGCACAAGTACTAATATATGTAACTGTAACGCTGTCTTCTGCAGGACTTTTGCCTGTCTACCTGCTACCACCCTATGAAGAGACAATCAACCGACCAGCAACCCCTCCACCTCCGTACACACCTCTCCAGTTGGTACCACCGTCCTGTGACCCTCCCGAGGAAGTCTATAGCCCCCACTCAGCTGTCTTCATTCCATGTGACGCTAATGCAGCACTCAATGGGACTCCAGAGATCACGCAGTTCTATTCCAGCAGTACCAACGGCCTTAACAAGGACCCAACAGCAGGCCGGTACCGGCGCTTCACTGGGGATTCTGGGATTGAAGTGTGTGAAGGCCAGGACCATCCATGGGATCAGCATGAGTTTTTTGACAGAGAAGAAACGTTAGAAGAGGAGGGCTTGAGGGGAAAGGATGAGCCAGACGACTGTACTGATGCCCAGACTGCTGAACGGAGTCCTGCTGGTGCACCTACAGCTGATAACACCCAAACAAAGTCTCCTGGATGATGATGTCTCTCTTGTATTTTTGGAATATTGCACCTTTTGTACTAAGATGTATCTTTCTGCAGACCTCTTTATTCAGGCTGTGGGTATTTGGTTCATTAACCTAATAGTCTGATCACTTGATTTGTACAGAAATACTTGAAAATGGTCAGTTTTTAGTCTTAATCCACAAGACTATGTGGATTATGAACAGAATGGGCCTTAAAAAGGATAAGGGTTGGTGTAGAACACTAAGTAATAACCCAGTTAGAAGGGAAAAGAAATGCAGTTGTACATTATAGACCAGCTGTAAGCTGATGTGAAGAGCAGCCTCAACCTGTTGAGTTAGCTACATGATCCACCCGTCTCAGATTCCTCACTACATTACCAAAGAGAATGTCAAAGCGTGTGGGGTGACATATTTCACGTTCACTGGGGCGGACGTGGATCATGTAGAGTTAGATTTTCCAGGATGCCTGAAACAACTGAGTTTATTTTTTTTCTCCAACACAATCTGAGCCTCACCTTACCATGTGCTGTTTTAAGATAATTATCTACCAGCTTCGGGAGAAGCACTGAAACTCAGTATGAACAGGGCCAAAATAATGAGTCTTTTCATGTGTACTGTATTTCAGATTTTATCTCAACCATACGTCTCATTAGTAATCAGATTGTATGTGTGTTTGTTTGCTTTTTTTAATAAATGTATTTTATCATTTTAAATGTGTTACTAAAACAATGGCCCTACGCTTTGCTTTGTCCAGCAGACCTGGCCTCTTGGCTGTTGAGAAACGATTGCTTCCTGGAGGTGTGACCTCTGTTGAAGCTTTGAATTTTATCTGATTGCTAGCTCTTCCTGTGGCTTGTGTGTTTGTGGCACTTCGATACTATGAAGCCTGCACTGTAAACTGCTATCCTTCACTGTGAAGTGCCAACATTTAATGTTTGGAAGCGTGACCGACACGGACTGAACGACTTCCTTCACTTCCTCTGCAGCCATTGCTAAATCTACAAGGAGACTCCAATTCTAAAATGGTGCACAAATTCAACTGCATCGTTCAGAACTTCTGATTTCTGAATGGCCTGGTTGAAATTCTACGGGAGGAATCCAAGTAAATGTTAAGCCTGATGTTGAGGCCGTCTAAAAGGTGTTCAGTTGACAGAAAATCTAAAAATATTTCTGGGTAACGGGAAGACATTGCAGATGAAATACTATTTAAACCCACAACTATAGTATCCTAAAAACAACAAAACAAAAAAAAGTGCAATTAAACTGAATATTTGCACTTCCGTTTAATCCAATTGAAGTCAGCAGCTCCAGAAGCGGCCCCAGGATTTTGGGGCCCATAAATCTTAGCATTTTATCAAAGGCCACAGATATATAAATAAAACTTAATGAATTGAGATTGTAAATGCTGCTAAATTTGATTTAATGGTTTCAGCATACATAAATTAAAAGATTTCAAATTGTTCAACATTTAAATTTCAGATTTTAAGGAGCTGACAAACTTTGTAAAAATTCAAAGAACAACATTCATGGTTAGATTGTTTTGGTACCACAACGACAATCTGATACTATGAGTTCAATCTTTGAGTTTGAGCTCTGTTTGTTCACAAATACAACTCAGCAAACTACAATTATCACAGATTTTGTTTTAAGGTTCGCCAATTAAACTACTTCTCCTCTCCCAAGCTGGTGTGTTTTGAATAAACCAGGACATATTCCCAGATCCAAAAGGTCCAAGCAGAATACAGCTAAAGTGTTGTGTGCTTTCAACGTTTTTAATACTTTCTGTCTGCATATAAGTAATTTTGCTTATTCAAAACATTCCTAATACATTTGTTGCAAATACTTTGCAATAAACTGTTTTAAATAATATTTTGTCCCAATTGCTCATTGCTGAGAGCTAATGGACCACTTTACCACACACATTACTAACAGGCATGTTAATAATAAATATTAACATGATGAAACTACATATTAGTCATACAATGTCAAGGGATCTTACTAAGCCGTAGGTTAACATCTTTAAAAAGTGTTTTATCTCGCATATGTGCAAAATAAATCAACTTTTGTCGCAAAGTGCTCCACCAGCAGTAAATATGTGAATATTTTGGGATATGTGGACAGATGGTTCCTTCCTCTGAGTCTGCTGCAATGTCTGACTTGTTGAAAGAGGATCAATAATAAATAATTAGATGTGCCAGGCATTTTGATTCTTAAATGCCCTGAGGAGGAAGAGAACATGCATGTTTAAAACTATTTTTAATCAAACATCTGTCTTGCCCAAATGAGGCCTACCTTTCTTTTTTATTATTACAATTAATACAGTTAGCATCTCCTGCTGTCTCGGTTTAGACAAGGGACGACCGCTCCAAGATGGCCGCCGTGTTTCCTATTGTTGTTCTGCGGTTCCTCCCGGACAGCAGATGGTGGCGTCATGAAACGACAGGAAGAGCAGGGGACATTGGTTTAGATCGGCGTGCGTTTTTGTGGATCTACAGACTGAAATGTGTTGCTCTAATAACTCAGTAATTCTCGGTGTCTGTTGTGATTTGGTGTCTCAGGACTCAGTCGTGTATCAGCGCGTCCTTCCGGATCATCCAATCACAGCGCAGACCTCTCGGAGCTCGCGACCACTGCGCACGCTCATCCCACAGTCCAAGTTAACGTAGAGACGGTAAGAGGCGCTTTTTAGTCGACTATTTCTTCATTTCTTTCCGTTTTAAAGAGCTTTATTGGAAGCGAATGGTCCACGTTGTTCTCCCGGCTCTGACTTCCTGTGTCGACGTTAAATGGCTCTGCTGTTTGGCTGCCTGGCTTCTCTCAGACGCCTCCAGTGTCGCAATGCGATTTTATAAGAACTAACACGGCGATGTTTGCGCACAGTTTGCTGCTCAGTTTACTTGTCGTGCTTTCTAACGTTTCTGAGTTGATGAAATCATTGGTTTTAAACAGAGGGAAATATAAACTATGCAGCTGCGATGCCACCTTCCTGCTTCTGCAGGAAATAAGAAGCAGCTTTAAATATCTAATCATCAGCCAGGCTAATCATTAGCCAGTGAGAGCACTGCTATAAGGGCAGTTTGCTGCTCTGGAGCAGACAGGTGTGTGTTATGTACATTATACACTAGTAACTCGCATGTTGTCTGCAGAACTATTGCAAACTAAATGATTCTCACCCACACAGTTCCCCTGGAGAACTGCTGGCCTCCAGGCTCAGAGTTGGGTTGCAACTCAATTGCATTTACCCGAATAACTTTTTTTTTCTTTAAAATGTAGCTTTAGGAGTATTTTTACTACGCTGTACATTTTGCTTTGACTTGACTAATTATATTATGAAGTATTGTTACTTTTGAGTAAAATGTCTGGATTCTCTAAATACTGTGAGTAACTTCTTTGAATGACAAACACACATGTTTTAACCAAAAATCTGCCAGACACAGACACAGGCCTGCAGTTTTTACAGTAACTAAGTTCTTTATTGAAAGAAACTGAAAAGTTGCATTCTGCAGCTTTATAATATTTTACAATATTCGATGTATTCTTGTTTATTAGACATTGTATTTGCCTACTTACAATACGTACAATACTACTTACAATACATGAAAAGAACAAAGATCATACTTCATATTCACAAGCAAACGTCCTTCATTATTTTTTGGAAAAAATTCACAGAAAAATCCAGATTCAGGAACACTGTCCCAAGTCTTACTCATGTCTCAGTCTCCTGTTTTTGTCCCTGGAAACCGATCGGCCTGATTCTGACTCTCATGACCAAACCGTTTCACTGCAGGAACATTTTTAACGTCAGAGATGACGACTTCGTGGAGCGACCGTCTGCAGAACTGTGCTGAACTCCCGGCCAACATGGACGGCATTGCAATGAAGAAGTATCGGCGCGAAGCTCACCACAGGTACAGTCACGCCTGTATTTCTGTTCTTTACACAGATAATGTCCTGGAGCAGTTGTGACATCTCAGTAGAGTTGCCAAAATGATCGATACCTTAACATATGTGACACTAGGAAAATGAATTGTTCAAAGCTGCATCAAAATCAATGTGAGCTGAGCCATTTATAATTATGCCTCTAAATTGTGGCACTTTTTTCAGCAGCAGGGCTGCAATAACAGACACTCAGTCCATCCCCAAAGTCACTAACCTGATCAAAGCAAAGACTTGCTGTAAGTTTTAAACTCTGAAACATCGCAACGACATCTGGGGAAAGCATGAGCGACCCTTTTTATATGAACAGCGTTATTTGGAGATACTTCCCCGATGAATGCTGCAAGCTGATGCTATAGCACTTATGTTTGAGATGGGATCGTCCACCCACCCCCCGTTTTGTAAAATACAGAATGGTCCCGTATTTGGCTTCTACACATGTCTGATAGACACGCCTATTACACACCCATCAACACTAAGAGTAATAATAATGACCAAAATAAAAACATACAGAACGCTACGATTGGAAACTGCTGTCACAGCTGCCTAGAGATGGACCCTAACCAGCCGAGGTGAGATGCTACTAACCCGTGTCTTCTCAAAGTGTCCTCGATCCGATTATCTCTAGAAGCAAAAGCTCTTACAAAAGTGGAGACGTGAGTGGGAAGACGCACATCCCAGGCTGAATAATTTCAGTGAGGAGGAATATTCAGTGGCATGCGGTGGGCTGTATGATGTCAGACACAATGGATAAGGAGAGGAACATGTCAGAACCTAATAGAACCAGACATCAGTCTCCTCGTTCCTCAATCACCTCCTAAAACTGATATGTCACAGGACATTTTATGATCGATTCAATTTCTTATTGTGCTTTTAGTAGACTACAATGGTTTGATTATTTGCTCACGTTGAGCTTGTACACACTAACAACTCCAAGGTACTTTTGCAAACAAGTCAAACTGTTTCTACTCTTTTGAACTTAAAGGCCTGTCAGCGTGATTGCATATTAACAGTGTTTGAGTTGATGAGGGTCATCTGGCAGAAACAAATCAATCTGTGTTGATTTGAACTTTCTGTATTTAACATTAGTGGCTTCAAGCATATCTAATCTCTCTGGTTTATGCATATTGCTACATGACATACATGTATTTTCTATTACAAAGCTTTCCGAGGGATCTGGCTCATCCTGCAATGAGGTACGCACTCCTTTTGTTTTTGAAGCACACTGTGATGACTCGTATAATGATCTCCATGACTCGACATAACTCTTCATAATACATTCATAAAATGTCATCAGTACTGACACAACACTCAGCAAGTGTTTTGGTTGTGAAATCTAAATGGTGTCACAGATTATATGACTCTGTGTGACAGTAGAAGAGGTGACTGTCTCAACAATGGACTGCAGAACAGAACAGTCAGTGATAGGATGAGGGGCATCAACTGCTGTAACATTTATCACCTTGTAGATGTCTTTATACCTCTGAAACTGCAAAGTCCCAGTAAAATGCATTTGAGTTTATGGGCGTTGTGTGAAAATGCGTCTAGGAGTGAACAGTTGCACAAGGCACTAAGTGTAGCAGCTCTGATGTTGTGTCCCTGTTGCTCTGAACAGATGTTTTCCATGCCAAAGTGATTAAGGGTAATCTGGATAATCCGTATCTTCATCATCCCAGTAACATCCTAATGTTGGCATGTAACGACTTGAAGTTATTTGTATCTTTTTAAATGTGTAGTGCATGTCTGTCTGTGTTTTTAGGTGTGTTTTGCGAAAATTATTTTATTTTTGTGATGATCTTTATTTTCACTGTGCCTTTCGATCAGTCGTTCACTGAGGAGTCGCTTGGAGGGAATCAGAAAAGCGGACAATTTAAAAAAAAAATAGAATTGCTCTTAATTGTTACTAGATTCGTGTCATTGCAGAGTGTTTGTCAATCGAAGCTTGGCCATGGAAAAAATCAAATGCTTTGGATTTGACATGGATTATACTCTTGCTGGTAAGTACAGTACAACCCTAATTTCAATCAAAAGTTATCTGAAGGTTCCTGAGAAAACAGCTTTGGTAAAAGTTCTGTAAATAAATCCTAATAACATCCCAGAATGCATTCTCGTTCCTTAAAGGAAGAATTTGATTTTAGTTCAAATTCTATTTCATCATTTGAATATTTCTATCTGCCCTCTGTATACAGTACTTTTAGAGAAACAGTTTCTTATTTAAAAGGTCGAATCAAATGTTTTGTTAGCATTTTCATGTATTTTTAATATAGTATGAACTTAAGTAGTTCAGACATTGTGTTATGCTGTGAAGATCATTCTGCCTCCTTCCTGTGCAGTGTATAAATCTCCAGAGTACGAGTCTCTGGGATTTGACTTGACCGTTGAGCGTCTCGTTTCCATCGGTTACCCTCAAGAGTTGCTCAACTTTGTCTACGATCCCTCCTTCCCCACCAGGTGGGTTCCTCTCAGCGTCGTTTGGTTTTCTGACTCAGCCGTTGTTGCAGAGATAGAATTTCTTACCTTCACTGCTTTGTCTGCATCATCTCAGAGGTCTGGTGTTTGACACCATGTTTGGCAACCTGCTAAAAGTGGATGCCTATGGGAACATTCTGGTGTGTGCACACGGGTTCAACTTCTTGAGGGGGTGAGCGTCACATGCTGATATCTTTCCTTATTCCACCTCATAGTGAGACACTGAGGTTCTAATCACAACCATGTAGTAGACGGATTTGTTTAATGTCTTATCCATTATGCATGGCTAGCACCAGTAGGCCTGTCACAATAACGAGTTTTGGTGGACAATAAATTGTTCGAGAAGTTAGTGCGATAATCAGTAATATTCTTTTGAGACCATTCTTAAGTAATATAGAAGTAATAGCAAAATAACAGTGCAAAAACACATTCTAAAAGATTCTTAAACTTCACACTGTAATGAACATTTAACACTGGAACTGGAAGACGTTTTAAATATCAAAAATAAATAAAGCAATAAATAAAATGAAGATTAAATTATTTGTAGACAAAATTCTCCTTCAAAAAAGGATAAGTTGAGACTAAAGCACCAAACTGAAAACTTATCATCCTGTTTTTGATAGAAAGAGGGGGGAAAAAAGATGAACGATAAATCACAGCAGTGGAAATTGTTGACTTTGTTTTAATTTATCATATGATTAATTGATTATTGTGACAGGCCTAAGCACCACCATGCAAATGGCTCAGTCAAGCCTACACACTGACCGCCTGGATGGAAGCAGCTAACTTGTTTCTGTGCACAGACCTGAGATCAGAGAGATGTATCCCAACAAATTCATCCAGCGTGGAGATACCGACCGCTTCTACATCCTGAACACACTCTTTAACCTGCCAGGTTAGTTTAAGCTCCATTTACGCCTCCATTCTAACATGAAACATGACTGTTCAGTCTGAAGACCTGGGAATGTTTGGGTGAAACTAACAGAGCATCCTGTTGCTCTGTGTCATCAGACAACTTGACATCAGTATATGTCAAAGAATACAACCATGATGTGCAGCAAGCAAATCAGTGACTTCCTGCTGAGAGAGGGCGGGGTTAAGGTGGTGTCATCATGTCACCATGTGAACATACTGAGTGCCAGTCTGATAGAACGCACAGAAAGCGCCCCACGTTTTCCTGCCTCAGTGTTTCACTGCGAATCGGAAGATTTTGAGGCTTATCCTTGCCCACATGCTTTGATGCAGAAAAAACTATCAAGGTGAAAAAACATCCACAGTTCAGGTCCTTGCTGGATATCCAATGTCTTTGCACAATAATCCAAAACAATCACCACCATATGTATTGAGTCGACGCAGCCAAAAAACCTTTGGTTATGCCAGTCATGTATTTTGTGGCAAAGCAAATTTGATGTAAATCTGTATAATCAGACTGTTGATTTTGTTTTCCTCCACAGAAACGTACCTCTTTGCTTGTTTGGTGGATTTCTTCACTAACTGTCCCAGATATGCAAGGTACAAACACACACATGCTCTGTCTCAGTGCATTGCGGCAATTTCAATGTTTTAGAGGACTTCTAGTTTCCCTATTTGTCCAGTTCTTTTTCCTTTTTTACATTATCAGTTCCTTGAGAGGGCTCTTAGACTGAGCATAACAAAACAGCAACAAGAAACCAGAACATAAGCTTTGAAAGATCTTTGAAAGAAATAGTCATCGAGACTATTTCTTTGAAATAGAAATAAAGAATAGACAGAATTTTTTTGTTTCTTTGAAAGAAACAAAAAAAAATGTTGGTAGGATGTTGAGTAAATTACCAACATTACTCATTGATGAAAATGCTCTGTAACAATTGCAGTTGTGAGTCTGGCTTCAAAGATGGCGACCTCTTCATGTCATACAAGAGCATGTTCCAGGACGTGAGAGACGCTGTGGACTGGGTTCACTTCAAGGTAAACCCTGCTCCTGTCCCTTAATATCTCCTAGGCTTCAGCTTTCATTTTGTTCACTCTCTCTGCTGGCTCTCACTTGATTTTCACAGGGATCCTTGAAAGAGAAGACGGTTGAGAATTTGGAGAAATATGTGGTAAAGGATGTAAGTGGACTCGGCTTTCCATGAAAACTAACATCTGACTGTAAAGAACTGTTGGGTTTGACTTGTGTTGCTGGTTTTTGTGGACAGCCGAAGCTCCCTCTGCTTCTCAGCCGCATGAACGAAGTGGCTAAAGTATTTCTGGCCACCAACAGTGATTATAAATACACTGAGGTAAGTTTTTTTCTTCCTTCATGATCAACTTGTGTAGTTCGGTTATTTCTGAATTTTCCTGTGCACCTCCTACTGCGGCACTAACTACTCATCAATGTCACTCACACTCCTGAAAGATTCAGTCCACACTGATGATGTGATTAAACTGTGATTGTGTTCAAAGTTGAGGAAAGAGTTTTAATTTAGTCCTGGGTTGATTTTTTTGCCTCAAACTCAAAGCAGGAGCGCACTGAGACCATTTATTAGAAATAAAAGCATGACAAATATCAATCTTTGGGTAATGAAGCTATGCAATGTGCAAGTTTGTCATTTTGAACTGAATCAGTGAAATTGATCAGCAACATGATCCCAACATGAACCCTGGTAGCAGAATAACAGCAGGAGGTTTATTTTGGTTGTATCACCTGGGATAAATCTGCTCTGAGATTTTATTTTCTGATACCATTTATTTTTATTATATATTCATTGATTTTAAAGACTGTTGAACTTAGAGGAATAAATTTGCTTGGCTCGTTAATTTTCCTCTAAGTCTCCGGGGTCCAAGAACTCCGCATGCAGGAGCGGGAAACACAGAGAACAACCATTCAACATCAAACTTCAGACATATCTAGAGTTTTATCCAGAGAATTCAATGCATATAGAATGTCACATCAGCATCACAACCCAGATTATCAAGAAGTCCAAACACATAACAAAACATACTATCACCTGCAACGAGTTGGAAAGGAAAGACAAGAATGCATTCTTGGGAATTGCTCTCACGGCTGCAAACAGAGCAATTCATTTTTCTGCTGTAAAACAGACATTTTATAAGGAGGTGTATTCCCTTAATTTAAATATATGCATTTATTTAAATGAAGGTGTGTCATCCCCTTGTAGGGCTGTTTAAAGTTAATTTTATTACCTTCTTTGAGACCTGTTCAAACCCAAAAGCAAATATATGGAAAGAACAAAGGTCATTCTCAAACAGGGTCTTCCCGTACCAGTCTCCTCCTTTACACATTCCAGACCAAAATTTATGTTTCAGCTAGAGACCTGGTGGTTTTCTGCTTCAGTGATTCATCAAGAAACGGATTCCTGCTTTTAACACACTGTTACAGAAACCTGGTGTCAGATGATAACTGTGAGTTTGGATCTAAAAATTGCAGGATTATCTTCTTTTAGAAAAAACTCTTAGAATTCCTGAAATATTTTACTTCTAAAACTTCAGTTTCCTAATCCTGTTCTATTTTAGTAATCTAAGATGCATGCAAATTAGTATGGTTAGACACTAACTAGTTCAGAACATGCTGTTAATGCTTAAAAGAAATATCTTAATACATTTGATTATACTTCTAGAAGAATTGTTTTCTAAAGGTTTTAGTGTTTTACTGAACTCCTAAACAAACTCCAAAGAATTTGACTCATCCTGTGAACAGGCAGACCCCCCTTCTTAGTCATTTATGTAAGTTCAGAGAGTCAGCAGTTGTTTTAGTTTGGATCTTTATCTAAGTTTACCTAACTTAAAATCTACTCAAAATATTCATGCTACATCTAATATTTCATATGCACAAAGGTTAACTGTTTCTAAAATTAATATAACCAAACTTATACTCCCAACAAAACATATCTCCTATCTTCTTGCAGAAAATCATGACCTACCTGTTTGACTTTTCTCATGGACCGAAGGTACGTGGAGTTTATCGGGAACCTGAATAGAACCAGAGTCATGACCGTCAGGGCATTTTGTTGAGACAAAGCATCATTCAGAACATTTCCTCATGCGTGTGCCGTTCCTGCAGCCGGGAACACCTCACCGGCCCTGGCAGTCCTACTTTGACCTGATCCTGGTCGACGCCCGCAAGCCCGTGTTCTTTGGGGAAGGTACAGTTCTACGGCAAGTCGACACTGTAAGTGTGTGCTACGAGACAAGCTTCAAAGTTATGGAACAAAATCATTTGTTGTTCAGACAGATTTGAAAATATTTTCTCCTTTTGCGTGTTGGCATTTTACAGAAAACTCAGCAGGCTTATATACACTGTAGCTCTGATATCTTCCAGTCCCAGTAAAATCTTCGAATTCACTCAACAGCATTTCATCCAGAAACAAGAAAACAAGCCTAACCATACCTCCTCCAAGTAAAAAGTAATTCTCTAATGGCCAACACAGTCACCTGATTTAGATCCAGCTGATCATGTCTTATTTGTCCTGACGAGGAACGCTAAAGGAACAAATAAGTAGCTGAAGATGGATGCAGATCATCATCACCTAGGGGACCATGAACCAGATTTTTAAGTCGTGATTCTGTGTAGGGAAACTACAAAGCAGAGTTAGCTGTAATTTACGCCTACCACCTTTCTCCAAACATGACGGCGTTTGGAGAAATGAGAGGGACCGTCTACAAACTATACACCTTAATCGTGTTTACATTAGGTTCAGTCATCATAGCGGGAAGTTCAAACCAGACGTTGAATGTCATGTTTTCTGAAAGTGTGTGATGAAGCTGTGGATTGTTTCAGACCACGGGTCGACTGAAGATCGGCACATACACCGGACCGCTCCAGCATGGCATTGTGTACTCTGGAGGTAAATGTTCCAATGGGTTTGCCCTGGCAAATATTTGTAGTGAATTATTGTGAAGTTGATGGAATGTGGCACAGTTTTCAAAATCCTGTACTTGTAAAACTCACAAAATTATGCATTTTTATTAAATTTTTTAATTGGACTTTTCCCACCAAATACGTTCCAGACCTTAATCATGGCTCATTCCAGTGCCAGTTTGTCACTGGTACCAGTAAAGAACCTGTCTGTTTTTCCAACACCAAAGAGCAAAGTCAAGAGACATGTAAATGTAAACATCTAATTCAGAGCTTTATTTGGTTTTATTTATTTATTTATTGCTGTTGTTCTTTCTGTAAATGTGAAAGATGAATAGCAGTATATATATATATTGTGTTGCAGTTTAACTCCCATGTTGTGGATGTATGGACAGTCTAAGAAGCTCTGGACCTGCTGTTCTTTAGAATGCAGCAGGAGGTCTTGGATCAGACCTTCTGACACTCCCTTCACTTTCTCTCTCAGGATCCTCAGACATCGTTTGCGACTTGCTGGGTGCTAAAGGAAAGGACATCCTCTACATTGGAGACCACATTTTTGGAGACATTCTCAAGTCCAAGAAGCGCCAGGGCTGGAGAACATTCCTGGTCATACCTGAGCTGGCCCAGGAGCTTCATGTGTGGACTGACAAGAGCGGTGAGAGGCTTCAGCATCACATTTAAAAGGGACCCGTCAGTTTTTAGGTAATATGGAAAAAGGACAGTCAGGAACATACACACAAAATTGCTGGTACCCCTCGGTTAATGAAAGAAAAACCCACAGTGGTCACAGAAATAACTTGAATCTAACAAAGGTAATAATGAATAAAAATTCCATGAAAATGAACAAATGGAAGTCAGACATTGCTTTTTATATAAGCCTCAAAAGAATACAAAAAAATTAAAATTATTGATTTTATTTTTGAAATACACATATATGTCAGTAGTAAATTTATAACTACTGACGGTAACATGGTTACTTGATTGTGCTATAAAATGACACCATGTGGCTGGAAAATGTTGCACTGCCCCTTTAGTGCGTCAAGCTGGCTCCAACCTGAACGGTGGCCACACATCCGTTTTAATAAGTTTCTTTGTAAAGCTTTAACTTTTCAGGAATGTTAAAGCTTTACAAATATTGCACCTCAGAGGTAGCCTGACATACGTGATCAAAACGTATTATTTCGTATTATCAAAACGCTTATTTTTTTCTTGCCGTTAAGTAATTATTACTCACCTGCTTTTTGCAAGTGCAAAATGCATATATATGTCAGTAGTGACAGAATACATGGCTGTCAAATATTTTCTAAGATTAAAAAAAGTATAATAATAAAATAGACAATACGAGAAGAACCTCGTAATTGTAGCATATTAAAATGATAACGCTGAAAAGCTGCCACAGATTATATTTGCTGCGTGTTGCACAAAATGTTTGGGCAACATGATGTCTGAGTGGGAGAGAGGAGCACAGTTTCATACACAGCTTTGAGGTTAAAAATTGTTCTTCAGCTGCTCCAAGTGAGCTGACTCATCATGGTCGTTTTCTCTCCAGCCATCTTTGAGGAACTTCAGTCGCTTGACTGCTTTCTCGCAGATCTTTACAAGTAAGATCCTGTTTTTTTCTTTCAATATGTGTGCTGTGTGGTAATGGATTCTTACAACATATCCTTTAACACATACTTATGAAACTGCAGGATACGTGATAATCGTGAAGTTTCTGCACGATCCTGACGTGATCATGCAGAACCCTTACTTTAACTAGACAGGTGAACTCTCCCCATGTTTGTATCCTCAGGCATTTGGACAGCAGTAGTAATGAAAGACCTGATATCAGCTCACTCCAGAGGCGCATCAAGGTAATACCTTATGAAAGATAACCAACAAAAATAAAAATATGAACAAAAGTCTAAAATAATGAACAAATTACGACTAACTTAACAGAGCAACTCGAACGGGCTGAGCTCCACTATTCTGGAAATAGACGTAGAATTTAGACCATGTGGTTTTTGTTATCAACCAATACAAGCAACTTTGGTTAAAAAGTTCGTCTATGGAAACCCAGTAGATTGTATCGAGTCATTGACTTGCAACACTCATTTTCCACTGCAGTTAAATATTTCCTCGACATGGTGCAGCTGCCATTTTTATAGAAATCGACGGATATTTGATATTTTTCCGGATTTCTTTGCTTTCATTCTCACAACCTCCGGTTTGATGCCGCATGCACTGCATCTGGAAGGTATTCACAGCTTTGGTAGAATGTTTTGAGGAAAGAGATTAATTTAATACGTTTCTTAAATAAAGCTGTAGCACACCGAAATGTGTGAAACCAAAGCTCTGCAAGTACTTTGCATGCATTTTGCATTTATGGAAGTTGTGACTGTTCTCCTTGGTCAACATGTTGTCCACAGAAAGTAACCCATGACATGGACATGTGCTACGGCATGATGGGAAGTCTATTTCGCAGTGGATCCCGGCAGACACTGTTTGCCTCCCAGGTGATGCGTTACGCTGACCTGTACGCGGCCTCTTTCATCAACCTGCTCTACTACCCCTTCAGCTATCTGTTCAGGGCTGCACATGTACTGGTGAGTTTAATATTGCTTCATTTTAGATCTGAACTTCTCAGTGTTTACGTCTGACTAATTATGGGGCTATTTGGTAATCTTTTATCTTCCTTATCCAGCAATACTATATGTAGTTATGTAGAGATGCCTTCACGTGTTTTAGATGAGAGCGAGATGCTGAAGCTACTGGAGTTGTGTTGGAGACATCAGCACAGAAGCAGGATTATGTGGTAAAAGTGGTTTACTGGTCAAAATTATACTACTATAATATAATAATACTTCCTGATGGAAGGCCAATAATGGGGGCATGTTTTGCACTAAATGGAGGCTGAACTGCTCTGCATATTTATTCATATACAGAGCAGTACAGCTCTGTATATCCATACTGATATATCACTATTATACTACACAAAGTTTCCCCCAGAAAACTTGCTAAGCCCGGTGGTTGGGCGCTAGGGAAGCCATTCATCTAGCAACCTGTTGGGTTTTTGAGTTAAGAAATGCTTAAAGTTGACAGGAAATTTGAAAATATCACTTGATAATTATGTGCTATTGAAAGATTGGAAGATTAATACCTGAACACCAACTATAAAGTCTTTAAAAATGCAAACATTAAAAACAAAAAAAAAACTTAAATAAATAATCGATGGTTAGCCTGGTGAGGACACAAATAAAGTCTGGTGGCCCGCCAGGCTTATAGTACACTGCTATGATATAATACCGTGGAATAATATATTAGAATACAATAATGTAGTATTGTACTATATTATAGTGTAATATTATGTATTATATATAGTACTTCATATATTAATGAACCTAACCTTTCATTAATATATGAACCTAACCTTTCATTAATATATGAAGTACTATATAATAAATGGCCCTGTCCAAGTCCAGACTGAAACCATATTGAATAGATACCCAGTATAGTATAACCCTTTCATTCAGTTGGCTGAGAGGTTGCCTGGCAACAGTACTTTTTTCCTATGGACGAACATCAGGCAACTAGGCAGAAACATGTTTCTGCAATCCTCAGTGAATTAAAGGCCATTTTCTAGTTTCTGCCATTCCGCTATGGAATGGACTCTGCAGCAGTTACACGCCAAAACACACTGGGTAAGATTGGATGATGAGTCGCCAGCTCTGCCCTCCGCCTGCCTGAGCTCTGCATCTGTGTCTCGTTGTCCAGATGCCTCACGAGTCGACAGTGGAGCACTCACACGTCAACCTGATAGACACGGAGTCGCCGCTCGCCACCCGCAACCGCCGAGACTTTGACGTCAAAGAAATGGAGATCAAGCGGCACCAGCTCACCCGATCCATCAGTGAGATCCAGCCGCCTCACCTGTTCCCCCAGACTCCACAGGAGATCACCCACTGCCACGACGAGGATGACGACGAGGAGGAGGAAGAGGAGTGAAAGATAGATGAGCCTTACCTCTGTTGCACATTTTATTTGATTGTTCAAACGTCTTTGTCCAACTTTTAAGCAGCTGATGGATATTTAGCTTTAGAAAATCTCATCCAGGTTTGCTGGTTTGGCCAGTATCATGAAGTTTGGATCTAGTTGTTCTTAGCAAAGGATTCAGGCATAAACAGATACAGTGAATAGAAAAACTGTTTTGAGTGAATTATACTGTATGTTTGCATGTGTGTGTGTGTGTGTGTGTGTATGGGAGGCGGGGGTCCTGCTGGTTTCTGCTCAGCCATCAGCTTCTCCACTCAGTCGGAGCTCTTTTTCTTTCTGCCATTTTGCTCTTTTGCTTTTGTTTTCCTGCAGCATTTATGCACAAGACTGTCAGTCTATACATACTATACTATTAAGAAGCTGTATAATATGTGCTCATTTAAATATGTGTCATTTACAAGTTGTATTATGTAAAAGGCAGACCAATCAGCCACACCATTACAATCATCGCAGCTGCTGGACTGTCAGATTAATGCTGGTGATGAATATCTTTATCAGGCTGAGGGCTTTCATCTTGTAGGTGGTTAGCGTAACAAAAAACATTTGTCTAAAAACATTTTTAAAAAAAACTATATGCACTTGTAAAAGTTCCAAGCAGAGACGTGAGCAGCTTTGAGCCGGTTGTTAAATGGTTAAATGACATAACAGGCTGCTGATGTTACGACACCTCAAACCAGGTCAGATGGTCAGGATGTGGTCAGATTGTGCAGAGCAGCCTGTAAACATCGTTAACTTATTCTGGAGGGGAATTTTAGGTTTCACCGGATGGACTGATGGATTATTCAGTATTCAAGCTCTCGTTAATTGACACGTAGGTCGATTTAATAAGTTGGTCTAAATACCCCTCCAGTTAACCAAAGACTTACTAATCGGAATAATCTGAAATTTGTGGGTCAAATTTCAGTCTCCCTTTTTATCTGATTTGAGTCTGTTCCTCATCTCGAGAACACAGACCGGCCTTCAGAGATAGATCTTTTTTTCAATGAATAACTGCTGTGAGAAGTTATTCATTATTTATACGAGGAAGAGAGACCACGGCGTTCCTTCCTCTAACTTTACTCATGTACACCTGCCTTAGAAAAGGGCTCACATTGAGTCTTTTTCCCTCAGCAACAAAGTTTTGTAACACTTTATTTAAGGCTGACATAACACTGTCATAAACATGACATAACACCTGTTATGAACATGAATGTCTTTATGAATGTCTGACTGTTGTCATGAGGCGTCATTTGATAAATAATGACACTTTTAATGCAGCATTAAAAGTGTCATTATTTGCTGAATGACACTTCATGATAACGGTCATAAACAGTATTAATAAAGACTCCTTCATGTTTATAACAGTGTCATGTCAGTCTTATGCACACCGTATCAAATAAAGTGTTGATACTCATTGTGTTATCATCCTGATTTTGTCGTTCTACTATAGATGACATGATGCGTTTACTTGTTTCAAAAAGATTTTTTTTTAAAACAACACATCTGTTAAGCATTTGGATTTGTTTCTCTTAAAAATCCAGTCTTCGTGTGAATTTGAATTTTTCTTGTTCTTATTGTTCCCTGTGAAAAAATGTTGAACTGTAATCAGAAATATCATACTGTAAAACAATGAATAGGAAATCCCGCAACTGCTATGACAATTTAGCCATTCATTATTTTGGCCAGTAGAGGCCAAACGAATTCCTGCTTATCGGAGCATTTGTTCCTTCAGTCAGGAGGATGACATGAACCAGGTCAGCCTGACTGATGACCTGTGATACGTGTCATTCTGAATCGTCCTGCTGAATCACACAGTAACACAACATAACCCTGTGGTTGTGCCACAATAGACATGTTTGATTTTCCTTATGTTGGACTTGACCTGTCGCTTGACTTGATGCTGTTAATGGGAGAAAAGGCTGGACGTCTTGCAGTCTCTTGTTGTCCCAAATTTTTATTTTTTTAAAACAAAGTGTCTCTGTGGGCCCCAGTGTCCTCACTGATGCCGCCGTGGCTGTAGGCGTGTTTCACATGCTGGAATGTTTAGTTGATCGAAGTTCACAAAACGCACTGCAGTGTGTTGGATAAGGATTCAGAGTTTCAGTTTTACCTTTATGTTACAGAGCTGCTGGAAAACGACTTCTTCTATATTCATTCAAAAGCCAGATTTAGCCAAATCAACGTTGGGTTGATCAGAGCCTGCAGCGCTTCACACTTCATGCATGCTTTTTATTTTTGTTTTTCCTGTGTCGTATTTGTTGACATTGCTTCAGTGTGGAAATATTTTAATAAAGATTCTTATAATGATAAAATATGGAGATTTTTTTTAAAGGTCATGTTTAAGGTCATTATTTCTGTAGCTAAACTCCATTTGTAAGTGACAGATGAAAAAAAAAAACCTAATTGTTGTTCATTCTACATAACAACATTTCATAACAGTTCATAACAACATTTATTATTAGTTTATCGCATAATGTAAAGCATTTTCAGCTGCATTGTTACTGAAAGTGTGATTAAAAACAATTCAATACACAAACGTGGGGTTAAAAGGATGGCAGACTTTTAAAACGGTCATCAGATTCTAATTGGTTAAATGTGAATGTTGCACACAAAAATCAGAGTTTGGTATTTTGCTCGGATTTGGGCACAGTTCACAATGTTTTCAGGAACAAATGTGTATCAGTCGCTTGTTTTATTTTGGTTGAGGTTTTTATCATTTACATGGTGAAACGTAGAGCTGCACTCACAGACTAACATTCTGTTCTGCTTCTCTTGTGTTCTGTACCATTACATTGCGTGCGTTTTTTGACATGCAACCTAGGATTAAAGTTCAAATTTTTTCCTGACATACCTCTGTCCAAATACAATCTCTGTTTATGGTCATGACCAAGTTAACGCAATTTTTGAAGAATTGATACCCGCTGAATTCTTCCATATTTTGTCACGTTGCAACCATAAACTTTTGTGTGAAAGATTTAACACAAAGTGGTGCACAGTTGTGAAGTGGAAAGAAAATACATGATTCTAATAAATATTTTTTTTACAAAAAAAAAAGTGTGTTGCAATTTTACTTATAAAGATGCTTCTTTAATTTTATGAATACCATAAGTGGAACTTTCTTGAGGTACTTTTTAACTTTTATTTGAGCAACATTTCACACTGCTAACTTTAAATGTATTTCAGTCAAATATTTGTTTTTACTGGAGTATATTGTTTTGTATTCTTTTCTCCTCTGGGCATGAAGTAGAATTAATACTATAAGAATACTAAGAATTACTGGATTTTGCGTAAAAGTGAGGAATGTAAAATGTTCCTCACTTATCCTGCAATATAAATGGGAGTGGGAGCTTCCAAAAGCCAGAAGCTTGTTAAAAATAATGAGTTCTAAAATAAAGTGTTTTTGTGGTAAATATTCTACTTTAATTTTGGAACTGGAAACAATGAAATGCAACCCATATTTTTGTTTCAGAAAAAATCAGACACTTAACTTCTGCATCAGCCACACGGCATGACACCGGGGGAAGGGGTGCAATACTGCCACTCCATCCATCCATCACAATTTGTCTTGTGGGGTCACACAAGACCCAAGGGTTGCTGGTGCCTCCAGTGGGGGCATGAGGGTGGTACACACTATCGAAATGCACAGATTTTCCAGAGATGAGACAGACAGCTAAAGTGCAAAGAACAAAAACTTTTAATGTCACAAGTGGAGAACGACACAGATAAAATCAGCAACTTCTCGGTGTGTTCTGGGGAGGCTGAAACAATCACAGAATCATATACGGTTCCTTGGCGCACAGGAAATGGGAGTCATTTCAAATGCCCAATACCAAATTGGGACACATAACATAAAAAGGAGTACTCTGAAACATAAAGACAGCCCTGCGGGGGAGGATGTCTTTTACCGAGCTTCCTCCAAAACTACTCAGATAAGTTGAGCATCTCATTGGGTTCCCATAGTGGGATCGCTCTATTTGTTATCTCTTCCCTTGCAAGCGGCTGGCCTTGGTCCTCCCTTTCACTGACACAAAGAACTGTTCTTATGAGTTACCAGGTGCAGCTGGCTAGGAGAGAGGAGTAGAAAAACAACTTATGCAACTCAATATTTTATATATGTCTAGGTGTAATCTTATTGTAGATAATTAATTTTGTTCCACACACACAGTTAGCCAGGCCATCGCTGGGCAACACAAGAGAAAAACAGGACAACCCAATCACGCACACACAGACTCACACTTAAAGAGAATTTAGAGGGACCAGTAAACTTGAAAGTCTGTTTTTAAATTAGAGGGAGGAAGCCGGAGTATCCATCAATGCACAGGGAAAATATGCAGATTTCATGCAGAAAGATGCCAGGCTGGGATCTGACCAGTGTGCCGTCCCACAACGGGACAAACAGCATTAAAAACAACAAAAAACCTCATGTTGTACAGAAATCACAGACTTCACGTGTTCTCATTGAACTGGCCTTTACAGGTTTAACCTTGTCAGCATACCTCTGAGTTCATCTTCACACCAAGCCACCAGCGACGGCTCTCTGATTAAGAGCTCTTGTGCAGGAGAAGTCTGCGAACGCTGAAGGACACCGTACTCTCTGGATGTCATCAGCAGCAGCACCAAACCCTGATTCCAGACTTGTGAGAACACGTGAGGCTTGAAGAAACGGGCCGAAGAGCGCTTTCAGGGCTGCTGTCAGGGTTGATCTGCCGTTTGGCCTTCAGGCTGCTGATAAAATCGCTCATCATTGTCACGTGCTGAAATGAAAGGTCACGGACATTTTCTCAGCTCATCGGACCCATGAAGAAATGTTCTCTGGATTACTGTGGTTGTGTCTTCATTGTATTTCTCTCATCTTGTCCAGTAATTAAGGATAGAAATGTCACATTACCATGGATGAAGCACCCTCTACTTTTGATGGGGGAGACTTCCAGTGTACATCTTACCTACGTTTAACATTTGCTTCCTATATTAAAGGTTTTCCTCAGTATTGAGACTAAACCAAAACTAAATCCAGTTGCTAAACTTAAACAGTCATAACTGTTGAGTCTTCTGTTCCCTCCCAGCTCTCAGCAGTGACAAAAAAATAAAAGATAAATAAAGACAAAACTACTGGCATCCTCAAAACGTGATTGCTTCATCCTCAGTGCAAACTGAGGATGAAGTTTGCACTGAGTGCAAACGGACTTATGTGTGGACCGTTTTGAGTCGGTTGCGCTTTCCTTGTGTTCAAAAATATTTGCTTCATGAAAACCACACGCGTCAAACTCAAGGCCCCGGGTGGCTTTTTATGTGGCGCTCAAGACTCTACATTACATCAATAAGTCCCTGCAGTTTTTCACAAATCTGCAAAAGTTGCAAAAAAAAAAATACAAAAAATAAAAATCAACAGATCCCCACATTTTTTTCTGATTTTACTACAATATTTTTTCTCAAAACTGGTTAAAAACATTGAGCTTTTAACCAAAAACTCAACTGCTGCCTCAGCCTTACTTGATGCCAAGTTGCAATCCGAGATCAGTGTGGCGATTAATAAAAAGCCACATTTAACGTCATGCATTAGCGTGAAATTCCTTACAAATGTTTCTGAAAGTCACCACAAAATCTGTCATTGATTGAAAAAAACCCAACAAAAAACAATCACAAAATCCTGGATGGATCAGCGTGAAAGGACGTTCAATATTATTTAATTTTAAGAAACACTTACTGAATGCTGAAGCAAACATCTGTTTGTTGGTATTTTAACAGTTTAATTGGTTTCAACAACACATTCTGGCACAACTGACCTTTTAAGATCAGTTAGATTTTTGATTTGGCCAGAAATAAAACCTTCAAATTGAATGTTGCACCTGATCCCCATCTACCTTCTTCTTCTTCTACTTCTATTTAGCAAAAATAATTTGCTATTATGTTACATAGCAAATTATTTTAATTTGCATTAAAATAATGCAAATTACTTTAATTTGCATTATTTGCAAATTAAAATAAATAAATAATTCAATCAAAATAAATAATTTGCATTATTTATTTTTACTGACGTAGCCAAACCAGCTACATGTGTTTTCACTGAGGCTGTGATTCCTTCCTGGATTTTGGGCAAAGGGTTTAAATAAAGCTACCGTCAGCTGATCATTCTCCCTCTCCTGAACTTTGACATCAGCTTTTTCATTTCTGTTTCGTGTCTCTGCTCTGTCTTCTCAAACCACCACTAAGAGAAATGTTGTCTTGTAGGGAGCCAGGTTCCTCTGGAGGTTTATTCCCGTTAAAGGGGAGGGGTATCTTTTTCTCTCTTCACATGCATGCTGTAAAAGTCAATGACAGTGTCTGGAATGAAAGCTGCAAGACAATGACTCCATCCAAACTGCTGGAATTAAACTAGTCCGATAAGGGATTGAACTATTTGACAGGATTTGACTAGGATTAAATTTACATTTTATATTAAGTGCCTCCAGATAATGTGTTGTAAATTGGCGCAATATAAAATAAACTGAATCAAAATCTGTGTCCAGACTCCAGTGGCGTCCTGAAGAGCTGCGTTCTTAACCGTCTGAAGCGACTGATCCTGACGCTCCACAAAAACACTTTAGACTTTTTTCATTTATAAAAAAAAAATCAATCAATCAAACACACTTCGCATGTAACCAGTCCAGCTGTGCGATTCATCCAAAACCTGCCAAACGGCCAACTTAGTTTCACCCATCAAACATGAACGTGACACACAAGAGCCGGTGTGTCACTGTCTGCACTACAGCAGCAAAAGCTGAGGTGATGATTGCGCCGTGACGCGTCGTCGTCATGCTGTCACTTCAGCAGATGCGTCAGCTGGTCCTGTAGGTTCTTTGAGTGCTCCACGCTGAGGGACAGAGGACAGTGAGAATACGTGGTGGCTTCGTGTTTTGGCTTTACTCAGCGATACGGAGCACAGCCTAAACAACGCTGGGTGTGCTGAGACTTACTTCTTCTGGATGGCCTCCTGTCTGAGAGGGGGGAGACACACATGCTTTAACTGCGCTTTCCTCCACAGCACAGACTAAAGTGAAGCAGCTGAGTGATACTTACTGGTACTGCAGATGCGTTGTTATGATGGACATCTTTCTCAGGCTCTGGAGGACAGACAACACCAAGAGGACAACAGTGGTCTCTAGTTAGCTCAGAGAAGTATCACAAACAGGAACAAGTTTTTCCTGTTCCTGTTTGGAAAACCTTATTTTCCTGTTCAGAAACAGGAAGTCTTGCTAGGCCCAGTGATTGGGGTGCTAGGCCAGTCATTCATCCAGCAGCCCGTCGTGTTTTTGAGTTAAAAAATGCTTAAAGTTGACAGGAAAGTTGAAAATATCACTTGATCATTATGTGTTATTAAAAGATTGGGAAATTAGCACCTGGAACCAACTACAAAGTCTTAAAAAAACAGTAACATTTTTAAAAAAATTTAAATAAACCAGCAATGCTAAGCCTGGTGGGGTCACAAGTAAAAGCCTGGTGGCCCGCCAGGCTTATAGTACACTGGGGAAAACCTGAAGAAGAATGATCACTTACATCTTCAGAGTGCAGAATGGCATCCTCTTGTATCACCATATTCCTTGCTGCTTGGCCAAGAAGCTGAAAGACACCAATAATGAAGACATGATTGGCAAAAAAATGATCCTTCATTTCAGTAACTCAAACATTACATCCCAGTTTAGTTGATCAATTCAACGCAAATTTGCAGAATGTGGCTTGCCGTTGTTTTGCTGGAATACGTTGGGATGTCACTGAAAAAGACTTTCCTCCAAAACCTTTTTGTGTCTTTCAGTATTAATGGTGCCTTCACAGATGTGCAAGCTCCCCATAACATCACATCAAGTCAAGCCCCAAGATAAAGATGTAGGACTCAAGTCCAAATTATGTATTCAACTCTATAAAAATGTATTTTGTGCTCAAGTAGGAATAAATATGGCTGATATTAACCGAATCTAGCAAGGCACAAATGACATTTTGAATAAAACAAAACAAATCTCTGCATTTCTGATATATTAAGAAAACTTGCTTTACTCCCTGTGCGCTGGACACAAACCTCCAAAATTTCAATTAACAGCACCAAGCCACTCCGTATGTTTGAGACAAAGGAATATTGTCTGGCATCTGATTTTATTTCACACAAACGCTCACTCATATGCGCTCAAAACATGTTCAGGCAAACACTTCATTATGTGCCTGCACTTGCAACTTGATAAAGCAGAATGGAAATATTATGGGGGAATTTTGAAGGTCCTCCATTTGTTTCCACAGACTGTCACAACATCATGACCGTTTTAACCATTGTGTAAAATAAATATATATTTTTTAATAAAAGTTTCATAGTGCTGTACAACATACAGGCCAGGTAAGGGCAAAATTACAACATAAAATACTGTGCAATAATTAAAAACAGCACACTCCCATCCAAAGCAATGAGAAACCAAGAAAAGTGACGTAAACGTGCATGCGTGTTTGTGCATTGAAAGAACAAAGACCATGACAAGCCAAACGCAGGTCTGCTTCGTCCAATCAGAGGCGTCTCTAGTATACGCTGCATGAGTAACAACCAATCAAAATACTGCAACGACCTGCGCAAAAAGGGGTGGGCTTTGGAAAACACAAGGAAACTTAAGGAAATTAAAAACTTGGATTTTGTGTCTTTTAGTAAAGCAGACAAATGCTTACTCATCATTGTCCATTTTAACAGTCAGGTTTATTTGTACAGCACTTTGCATCTTTAACACAAAAATAAAATAACCTATAGCCATTTTTCTGGAAAAGGCGTTGGTCAGCAAGTGAACATAAATATATATGAGTCGGGGGATAGTGATGAAGAACTGCTGCAATATTATTGTTATTAAAGTCCATATATTGAGGCGCTTTAAGAGAACCGTAGCTGCCCTTTTATTTTGTAATGTCTCCTCGTTTCCGGTGATTGTCCGGTAACGTTTTACAGGAAGACGGAGGGTCGCGTTACCTCTTGGCTGCGGGATCCTTTCAGCACCTGGCGGGTCAACGCAATCACGTCCCCGCTACAGGAGCCCACCTTGTCGGATAATAACCCTTTAACGGACTGGCCGAACCGCGGCTGAGAGTCAGCTGACGCCATTTTTCTTATTACAAAAAAAAAAAAAAAAACAACGGCAACCGGAGAGGTCCTAAATTGAGTAGCAACGCGTTCATGAGGCGCCTGTTAATTTGGGTCGTTATAAAGCAAAACTTTAAGTTCGGTTCACATTTTGGGTCTGTCGTCCTTTCCGGAGCCTTAAGTAATAGATTCTATTTGAAAGAAATATCTAAATAACCTGGTTTATTATGCAATATTAAAACAGGATTAAATTTAACCTTAAAGTTTCCTAAGGACTTCCAGAAGTATTTACACCCACAAGAGTATGTGGGTGTAAATCCACAGCTGATTGTTAATTAATTAGGTTTATTTGATCAATCTTTATGTGGCTAAAACAATTGGAACTCTTGCGGGAAGGATTTCCGCAATGTTTACGAGTTTTGATGGGAATTTAGATCACTCTTCCAAAATTGTATTTGTGAGGTCAGACACTGATGCTGGACAAAACAGTCTGACTCACAGTCTCAGTTGTAATTCAGTTCAATTCAGTTCAGTTTGGGACTCTATCCAGGCAGGTCAGGTTCTTCCACATCAAACTACATCTGACTATTTAGAAAAGAAAGACATTTCATGATTGATCTTGTTGCATTATATCATTCATGTTAGAATTGACTTGAGAGTGATCCTTTCTTTTCCTGATGTTAGTAGCAGCAGTCTGCATGACTAGGTGCTACGTTTTGTGGACAAGCGAACATGGAGGTGACTGGATAAATGTAAAAACCTGAGACTCAAGTGAAGGTACACCGTCCAGCAGGACTACCACCCTAAACATACATAAACATACAGCTCAAGGTACAACGGAATGGTTCCGATCAAAACATTAATGTGTTACAATGGCCTAGTCAATGAAAAAACCTAAGTTGAGATAGACATTACCTCAAAATGCTTGCAGCTCTTGCAGTGACAGTTGGTTCTAGAGAAAGTTTTAATGCAGAAGTATTGAATGTAAAATGTGCCCCAAAGATTTTTATTGGTAAAATACAAAATTGTTATGATTCTATTATTTCCTCCATCCCTTTTGGCCTCATTTATCTGCTCACACGCACACGCTGCAGCTTGCATGACCATGTTTATGTGCGACTGCCGCCAGTCGTACGTAAACAGACTGAAACTGATTAGACTATCCTTTAGGGAGGGAACAGATTGCAGAGAAGAATAAGAAGCTAAACTTGCTATAGTCTTTGCCTCATTAGGTGTCACCCCTACGGTGAGCTCAGTGTGGCCCCAGCCCTGGATGGTGAATGTAACTCTGTATCTTTTCCACTTGTGAGACATGTGTGGCTTGTAACATTTGATCATTTTTCTGCATTAAAGCCCGTTTTTATATATAACCAAATCTCATCATTTCTCAAGGTAATTTACATTGAGGATTTCTGGTCAGGTCCTGAAAGTGGCAAACGGACCTGGGTGGTGCACAGAGACAGAAACGGATGAACTCCAACATCATGCATTCCAGGATTAGAATGCCCCCTCAACCATGTATTATTTTCTTTCACTTCACAGTTGTGTGCTACTTTGTATTGGTTTGTCACATACAAAGTGACAGACCCAAATATACACGGGCTTTGTGGTTGAAACATGACAAAAATGAGAAAAAGCTCAGGGGGTGTGAATACTTTTGGGTGGACATTTAATTATTTGGAATAGAGCATCGGATTTTGAAGAGCACGACAATGGTTAGAAGTGGCTTCCTTCAAGGATTTCATCAGACAAGTGTCTCTTATCTTTGGACTGGTTAAGCAGTCAGAGTCAAGGCTTCGGCCTTGATGTGGTTGCATATAAGTGCAGTGCTGCATGAGTGGGAAGCCTTCCTTCACAGCTTCTCCCTGCGATGCATGGCCACAGGTGAACCAGACCACTCCGTCAGGACCCTCCACTCACAGATATGGCTTGCTTTTTTCTGATTGTCTTCGCTATCCTTGTTCTGGCTGTGTTGACATGGCAGCTGAAAGTCAAGTCCTCGTTTGGCTCCCAGGAGCCCCCTTGCCTCCCCGTGCTGCCTTTAATTGGCAGTCTGCTGAGTTTGCGAAGTCAACATCCTCCTCATGTGCTTTTTAAAGAGCTCCAGAAAAAGTACGGGCAGACGTACTCGCTGATGATGGGCTCTCACAGGGTGGTCATCGTCAACCAGCATGTGCACGCCAAAGAGATCCTGCTGAAGAAGGGAAAGATATTTGCAGGGAGGCCAAGAACTGTGGGTACAGTTTCTCTTTGTGTGTCCTCGGCTTCACCTCTCATGCTGACGGTGTCCTTTGTGCTTTTGTTTTGCGTGCCGTGTGTATTTCAAAGGTGACTACAGACATTCTGACCAGAGATGGAAAAGACATTGCATTTGGAGATTACAGTCCTGCCTGGAGGTTCCACAGAAAAATTGTGCATGGAGCTCTTTGCATGTTTGGAGAAGGCTCTGCCACCATTGAGAGGATGAGTGAGTACAGATCACTACACTTCTTTTAACATAACAAAATGTTGAAATGCAGCAACGCTGATCAAAAACATTCATTCACGCATCGTCAAATTCTCTCTAACGCTTATCCGTTCAGAGTGCCTTTCTGTGTGTGTTTGCAATACCTTGTGGGGATAATTTTCCTGACACATACTACATTGTGGGGACCCACTGCTCCCCGTCGGGGCCGAAGCCTGGCCCCCACAAGGGGAAACACTGTTTATGGGTCAGGGGTTAGATTTAGGACGAAGGTGTGAATTGAGTTTTGATTAGGATTAGGATAAGGGTAAGGCTAAGGCTGTAGAAATAAATGGAAGTCAATGGAAAGCCTCCACAAAGACAGCCACCCAAACGTGTGTGTTTGCACGTTCATGTGTGTATGTGTGTGCGTAAGGGGGCGGAGCAAAGTAGGTAGGAATATTCCTTTGCACTCAGTTTTTACTTTTGCATATCGGTTTTTTTTAGAGTGAAGACAAATCACTTTCATTAAAACGTTTTGGTCTTGTAGTGTTAAAATGACTGAGACCTATTAAGTGTACTGGACAGTAACCGGACATGCTGGACCTGTGGTGTGCTCAGTCTGTGCAGAGGCCCAGTCTCTGTGTTCCACTGTGTCCGAGGCAGCGGCTTTGGGCCTGGCTCTGGACCTGGCCCCTGAGCTGACTCGGGCCGTTACAAACGTGGTCTGCTCCCTCTGCTTCAACTCATCCTACGCCCGCGGAGACCCAGAGTTCGAAGGCATGCTGCGCTACAGCCAGGGCATCGTGGACACAGTGGCCAAGGACAGCTTAGTTGACATCTTCCCCTGGCTGCAGGTCAGTCGATGTCAACACCCGGCACAGAGACCGCTTCACATGTGGGAAATAAGGTCATGATCAGAAAGACACATGAAGTTACAGCTACCATAGTTGCTACGTAATCAATAAGAATAATTATTTGTACAAAAATTGTAACAAACCAAGTAAGCCAAAAGCAGATGTTTCATCCAGTTTGAACAAGAATACGTTGAGGTTAATTGTCTCTTATTGTAACTCATAGCAACATTGGCCTAAAATCTCTCCAACTTCCATCGAGACCAATATGTTTAATAATCAAGTTTACTAAACTGGTCTGAGGAGAGGGTCTCATCAACAGCCATTTTATGAAACAAACCACATAAAGTACAAACTCAAGTTCTCAAGTAGCTCAGTGGGTTTGGAGGCAACCTGCTGTGTTGTTTTTAAAGGGCATTTTGTTTCACCTTCACACCTGAATAAAAACATGTAAAAAAAAATGTCTTCAGTAAATATCTAATCATGTAGTAAAGGTAATTTGAAGCATGGTCTGTCTCTGTGCCCCAGATTTTCCCCAATGCAGACCTGCGTCTTCTGAAGCACTGCGTTTCAGTCAGAGACAAACTTCTGCAGAAGAAGTATGACGAGCACAAGGTAGGCTCTGCGGTGTTGTCATTAACCCCTAAGATGTCACTGATGTTGGAAAACACTCCTGTTGGTTAGAGCCCATATTAAAACTCCACGCAAAGTCCTGTTTTCAATTCAATTCTCTTCAATTAAACTCTCACTCTATCCAAAACCGAGCATGAACGGGCCACGAGGCCCAATTTGTAGCCTATTATGTATCAGCCCTCAAGACAAAAGCTTGGTCAGCCCTGGTCTGACCATATGTGTCCTATTTTCTACTACTGCGCAACCTGTAGTTGGCTTTTAATATTCAAGTAAGAATAATAAGTAACATTTTTAATCCAACTTGTTTCTCAGTGAGCGTTACTCAGTGAATTGTTGTTTTTTTTAACTCAGTGCATGGATGGGGCATGTCCAGTGTGCAATCAGACAAAATAAACAACAAGGTGGCCTTTTATTGCCTGGGGACGATACTAGGCCACCCCAAGATGACTAGGGGAAGACATGCAGGGCTGCAGGGACTGCCAACAGACTAAACGGAGAGTAGTTACCTTTCCTCTGTCTGGATACCTGCTGAAAAGTTTGCTCCACCATAACAAAATGCTTATGTTGGAATCATAACCATATCGGATCTTAAAAATAAAAACCACAAAACAAACAAACAAATAAAACACTTTTTATTCTTCATTTTCCCCCGAGTGATACGACCTCTCGTGTCTCGTTTGTTCTGACCGTGTGTGTGTGTTGCACACCGACTCTTTTCCCGTCTGCCAGGCAGACTACAGCGACAACGTCCAGAGAGACCTGCTGGACGCCCTGCTGAGAGCCAAACGCAGCGCCGAGAACAACAACACGGCGGACGTCGACACGGCGACTGCGGGCCTCAGTGACGACCACCTCCTCATGACTGTGGGGGACATCTTTGGAGCCGGCGTTGAAACCACCACCACTGTGCTCAAGTGGGCAGTGACATACCTCATCCATCATCCAGACGTAAGCCGTGAATCCCTGCTCTGTTTGTTGCGGTGACGTGCGGCGAGGTTCATGGCCGGTCAAAATCATAAGACCCCCTGCATGTCATTTGCATGTTGTTAGTCTACGTGTAGCTCGGGCGATACAGAGAGCGAGAAAAAGGTGGTTTTGATTTGTACTTCAACAGGTTTCCCTTTG